TGCTATGATTATCAGAGTACATTTTGACAGTGACTCCATGGTACCTGTCTGCTGCTATGATTATCAGAGTACATTCTAACAGTGACTCCATGGTACCTGTCTGCTGCTATGATTATCAGAGTACATTCTAACAGTGACTCTGTTGTACCTGTTTGCTGCTATGATTATTAGAGTATATTTTAACAGTGACTCTGTTGTACCTGTTTGCTGCTATGATTATCAGAGTACATTTTAACAGTGACTCTGTTGTACCTGTCTGCTGCTATGATTATCAGAGTACATTTTATCAGTGACTCTGTTGTACCTGTATGCTGCTATGATTATTAGAGTACATTTTTAAGAGTGACTTTGTTGTACCTGTCTGCTGCTATGATTATCAGAGTACATTTAACAGTGACTCTGTTGTACCTGTCTGCTGCTATGATTATTAGAGTACATTTTAACAGTGACTCTGTTGTACCTGTTTGCTGCGTCACTGTTAAATGTACTCTGATAATCATATCCATGGTACCTGTCTGCTGCTATGATTATCAGAGTACATTTTAACAGTGACTTCATGGTACCTGTTTGCTGCTATGATTATCAGAGTACATTTTAACAGTGACTGTTGTACCTGTCTGCTGCTATGATTATCAGAGTACATTCTAACAGTGACTCCATGGTACCCGTCTGCTGCTATGATTATCAGAGTACATCTTAACAGTGACTCCATGGTACCTGTCTGCTGCTATGATTATTAGAGCACATTTTTACAGTGACTCTGTTGTACCTGTCTGCTGCTATGATTATCAGAGTACATTTTATATAATCATAGCAGCAGACAGGTAAATGTACTCTGTACAACAGAGTCACTGTTAAGTCACTGTTAAAATGTACTCTGATAATCATAGCAGCAGACAGGTACAACAGAGTCACTGTTAAAATGTACTCTAATAATCATAGCAGCAGACAGGTACCATGGAGTCACTGTTAAAATGTACTCTGATAATCATAGCAGCAAACAGAGAGTCACTGTTAAAATGTACTCTGATAATCATAGCAGCAAACAGGTACAACAGGTTGTACCTGTCTGCTGCTATGATTATCAGAGTACATTTTAACAGTGACTCTGTTGTACCTGTCTGCTGCTATGATTATCAGAGTACATTTTAACAGTGACTTCATGGTACCTGTCTGCTGCTATGATTATCAGAGTACATTTTAACAGTGACTCTGTTGTACCTGTCTGCTGCTATGATTATCAAAGTACATTTTAACAGTGACTATGTT